TGGTAAACCCAGGACCCACTGTAGTTGTGATGGAAAACCCAGGACCCACTGTAGTTGTGATGGTAAACCCAGGACCCACTGTAGTTGTGATTGTAAACCCAGGACCCACTGTAGTTGTGATTGTAAACCCAGGACCCACTGTAGTTGTGATGGTAAACCTAGGACCCACTGTTGTTGTGATGGTAAACCCAGGACCCACTGTAGTTGTGATGGTAAACCCAGGACCCACTGTAGTTGTGATGGTAAACCCAGGACCCACTGTAGTTGTGATGGTAAACCCCAGGACCCACTGTAGTTGATGGTAAACCCAGGACCACTGTAGTTGGATGGAAAAACCCGGGAACCACTGTAGTTGTGATGGTAAACCCAGGACCCACTGTAGTTGTGATGGTAAACCCAGGACCCACTGTAGTTGTGATGGTAAACCCAGGACCCACTGTAGTTGTGATGGTAAACCCAGGACCCACTGTAGTTGTGATGGTAAACCCAGGAACCACTGTATTTGTGAGGGCCCAAACCCAGGACCCCACTGTAGTTGTGATGGTAAACCCAGGACCCACTGTAGTTGTGATGGTAAACCCAGGACCCACTGTAGTTGTGATGGTAAACCCAGGACCCACTGTAGTTGTGATGGTAAACCCAGGACCCACTGTAGTTGTAATAGTAAACCCGGGGCCCACTGTAGTTGGGGAATGGAAAAAACCCAGGACCCACTGTAGTTGTGATATTAAACCCAGGACCCACTGTAGTTGTGATAGTATACCCAGGACCCACTGTAGTTAATGGTAAACGTCTAACTCCGTAGTTTAGTCTCATAAATGCAGTATATATGAAACTTTTTTGACACTTTATCATTTTTTTTTAGTTTGGCTTTATCTCCAGCAAGTAGCAGAATATTAACACACAGTTGAGCAACTCACTAAAGTAGTGATTCCCAGTGTGCGGCGGCCGCTCCACAGGGAAGCAATTGGAATGTTTTTTGAAGGCAATATAAATTAAGTTACCTAAATAAATTTAATTTTGATGTATTGTAATTTTGACCCAATAATATACCGTTTCAACACCCGAATATTTTTTTGTATTAGGGGGCCATAAAATTTGTTGAGGTATTGAGTTGGGGCATGACGCAAAAAAAAAAAAAAAAAAAGGGTTGGGGGACCAGTGCAACAGAGGAAAAATAACAAGGTCCAGTAGGCTACTTTGTTTCCCATTTTCTGTTTCCCATTTTCTTTGTTTCCCATTTTCTCTAGGTCTTATTGATTGCCTTGATGTGTCTCCGAGTGCTGCATAAATATAATACTGTAGTATTTTAATTTGTCATGGAGTGGATTGTCAAATGACGTAAACGTTCACAAATTATGGTTATGATCTACTTGCAGAGAACATTCTCCTCTCCTCCAAACAAATAAAATCTCATTATTGAGTCAGTTTTTCTCGTCCATTTCTTTGGGTTCTCATGGGCCCCCCAATTCCTCATTTAGTTCCTGGTCTGATTGCTGATTTTGCACTTATATACCAGATATTTATTATGCATTGTCTCAGTCGTATTCGTCTGGGCCTTCTGTTGTTTGGTGGTGGGTTGTAAACGACAGTCACAAAGCGGCTGAGACCCACGAGCATTGACCCAAGAATATTATCTTAGAATTCATCACAGTCTGGAATTATCATTTTTCAGAATGTGTCGCCGATTATTATTATGAGTGCCACCCCCCACCCCCCATCCTCCCCTGGTTCTTCACTCTCACTTCTCTGCACACAAGAGCCCCTGGGAACCACTGCAGCTCTCATCATTTTAATTAACTTGTTTTCATTAAGAGCGATGATGTCTGCTCTTTATCCCTTTGCTCTTTCATTTACATCAAGTTTTGTTCGGATTCCATCAATATTGATATATATTATTTTGATGTATGTTTTTGCTCATCTGGTGAATACCTGATTTTGGAATGGAGATCTTGTGAGGGTGATGGGCCCTGTGGGCGAGATGTGTCTCAGTGGGGTTGATGGATTAAGGGAGGGAGGGCGTTAAAGGTGTTATTGAAGTTTGGGGAGGGAAGGGAGAAGGGAGAAATTGTTTGAGGGTGTTCTTTGAAGGGGAGAACACTAGAACACTTGAGAGGAACGTTAATGGATAGAACATTTTCTCTGAAGTTGAGATGGATTATGGATTGGCATTATTTGGTAGCCATCTAATAAGGAGATGGAGATGGATGGGTGGGGATATCAGGAGGGTGTGGATGGGTATGACTGGCATAAAGTATGATGAGAGTGTTGATGAGAATGAATAGGTAGAGATATGGGGTGACTATGGATACAACTGGGTATAGTGAGGATGTAGATAGGACTGAATGAGTAGATATCACGAGGGTGTGGATAAGAGTCACTGTCTCGTGTGAGTCACTAAGAGTCACTGTCTCGTGTGAGTCACTAAGAGTCATTGTCTCGTGTGAGTCACTAAGAGTCACTGTCTCGTGTGAGTCACTAAGAGTCACTGTCTCGTGTGAGTCACTAAGAGTCACTGTCTCGTGTGAGTCACTAAGAGTCACTGTCTCGTGTGAGTCACTAAGAGTCACTGTCCCGTACGAGCCACTAAGAGTCACTGTCTCGTGTGAGTCACTAAGAGTCACTGTCTCGTGTGAGTCACTAAGAGTCAGTCTCGTGTGAGTCACTAAGAGTCACTGTCCCGTACGAGCCACTAAGAGTCACTGTCTCGTGTGAGTCACTAAGAGTCACTGTCTCGTGTGAGTCACTAAGAGTCAGTCTCGTGTGAGTCACTAAGAGTCATTGTCTCGTGTGAGTCACTAAGAGTCACTGTCCCGTACGAGCCACTAAGAGTCACTGTCTCGTGTGAGTCACTAAGAGTCACTGTCCCGTACGAGCCACTAAGAGTCACTGTCCCGTACGAGTCACTAAGAGTCACTGTCTCGTGTGAGTCACTAAGAGTCACTGTCCCGTACGAGCCACTAAGAGTCACTGTCTCGTTTGAGTCACTAAGAGTCACTGTCTCGTGTGAGCCACTAAGAGTCACTGTCCCGTACGAGCCACTAAGAGTCACTGTCTCGTGTGAGTCACTAAGAGTCAGTCTCGTGTGAGTCACTAAGAGTCACTGTCCCGTACGAGCCACTAAGAGTCACTGTCTCGTGTGAGTCACTAAGAGTCACTGTCTCGTGTGAGTCACTAAGAGTCAGTCTCGTGTGAGTCACTAAGAGTCATTGTCTCGTGTGAGTCACTAAGAGTCACTGTCTCGTGTGAGTCACTAAGAGTCACTGTCCCGTACGAGCCACTAAGAGTCACTGTCTCGTGTGAGTCACTAAGAGTCACTGTCTCGTGTGAGTCACTAATAGTCACTGTCTCGTGTGAGTCACTAATAGTCACTGTCTCGTGTGAGTCACTAATAGTCACTGTCTCGTGTGAGTCACTAAGAGTCACTGTCTCGTGTGAGTCACTAAGTCACTTTCTCGTGTGAGCACTAAGAGTCACTGTCTCGTGTGAGTCACTAAGAGTCACTGTCCCGTACGAGCCACTAAGAGTCACTGTCTCGTGTGAGTCACTAAGAGTCACTGTCTCGTGCGAGTCACTAATAGTCACTGTCTCGTGTGAGTCACTAAGAGTCACTGTCTCGTGTGAGTCACTAAGAGTCACTGTCTCGTGTGAGTCACTAAGAGTCACTGTCTCGTGTGAGTCACTAAGAGTCACTGTCTCGTGTGAGTCACTAAGAGTCACTGTCTCGTGTGAGTCACTAAGAGTCACTGTCTCGTGTGAGTCACTAAGAGTCACTGTCTCGTGTGAGTCACTAAGAGTCACTGTCTCGTGTGAGTCACTAAGAGTCACTGTCTCGTGTGAGTCACTAAGAGTCACTGTCTCGTGTGAGTCACTAAGAGTCACTGTCTCGTGTGAGTCACTAAGAGTCACTGTCCCGTACGAGCCACTAAGAGTCACTGTCTCGTGTGAGTCACTAAGAGTCACTGTCTCGTGTGAGTCACTAAGAGTCACTGTCTCGTGTGAGTCACTAAGAGTCACTGTCTCGTGTGAGTCACTAATAGTCACTGTCTCGTGTGAGTCACTAAGAGTCACTGTCTCGTGTGAGTCACTAAGAGTCACTGTCTCGTGTGAGTCACTAAGTCACTTTCTCGTGTGAGTCACTAAGAGTCACTGTCTCGTGTGAGTCACTAAGAGTCACTGTCCCGTACGAGCCACTAAGAGTCACTGTCTCGTGTGAGTCACTTAGAGTCACTGTCTCGTGCGAGTCACTAATAGTCACTGTCTCGTGTGAGTCACTAAGAGTCACTGTCTCGTGTGAGTCACTAAGAGTCACTGTCTCGTGTGAGTCACTAAGAGTCACTGTCTCGTGTGAGTCACTAAGAGTCACTGTCTCGTGTGAGTCACTAAGAGTCACTGTCTCGTGTGAGTCACTAAGAGTCACTGTCTCGTGTGAGTCACTAAGAGTCACTGTCTCGTGTGAGTCACTAAGAGTCACTGTCTCGTGTGAGTCACTAAGAGTCACTGTCTCGTGTGAGTCACTAAGAGTCACTGTCTCGTGTGAGTCACTAAGAGTCACTGTCCCGTACGAGCCACTAAGAGTCACTGTCTCGTGTGAGTCACTAAGAGTCACTGTCTCGTGTGAGTCACTAAGAGTCACTGTCTCGTGTGAGTCACTAAGAGTCACTGTCTCGTGTGAGTCACTAAGAGTCACTGTCTCGTGTGAGTCACTAAGAGTCAGTCTCGTGTGAGTCACTAAGAGTCACTGTCTCGTGTGAGTCACTAAGAGTCACTGTCTCGTGTGAGTCACTAAGAGTCAGTCTCGTGTGAGTCACTAAGAGTCACTGAGACAGCAGTGTTGTTTACACTCGCTCTTACCAAAACAAAAATAAATAACACAGAGTCACTGAAGATATTTTACAGAAAGTTAAAGTTTGCAACTTTCACGCTGCTCAGTTTTGAACGTCTTTTTACTGACATATTTCAAAATTCTCAGATTTCTATATATTTTTTTTTAATTTCAGAGCCTGTTGTGAACCACCTGGGATCGATGAACCTCAATTTCAGAACCGCTGGTCCATAGCAATATGGACAGCTAGATTATCCATGGTGGGATCTGGGGTTATTGGCATCTTGCTGGAGTTTAGAGATAAGGTAAATATCACACAAATTGGTTCTACACGTTTCCGGACGATTGTCCCATTTCCACTTTCCATCCATATTTTGACATGTTTCCTTCTCGGGTACCGGCAGGTAGGAGTTCTTTACGGCTTCAGCTCTCAGTAGCCCTTTAAACCAAAACACTAGCTTGCAGCATCACTGCCTGGACAGTCTCATCACTTATTGTACCGACATGAAGCTTTCTATTGTCATACATTTCCTCAGATGCATTTTGCACTAACACGTTTGCTCACATCCTCGAAATCCTCTACATGTCACTCAGACTTTTAATCTTCCTTATGGCATTATTCACCTTACTAGAGTTCTCTGATCTTAATCGTTTCCCAAAAATACTTTTGATATACCGACTTTTCTTTTTCTTTTACGTTCCCCTCCTCCTCCTTGCTTTTACGTTCCCCTCCTCCTCCTTACTTTTACGTTCCCCTCCTCCTCCTTACTTTTACGTTCCCCTCCTCCTCCTTACTTTTACGTTCCCCTCCTCCTCCTTGCTTTTCCGTACGCTCTTTGCATTAGTCTCTCAGCGTAAGCTGACTGCTGTTGGACACATCCAGGTAAAAACGTTGAAGAAAATTCCACTCCTGCTGGAATGTCATATCGTGCGTAGGGAAAACACTCGTCCTGTGTAAGAAAACACTCCAGTTCTGTGTAAGAAAACTCCAGTAACTGCTGGAAGTCTTCAGGTGTTGCGTACAAGGTACCTGAGTACCTAATGACATTAATTAAAAATAACGTGATCCTGTTATCTTTTCTATATTCGTCTTATTTGCTATCTGTTACATATGCGAATGAATATCTGACCAATAAAGTGAAATGTAAATCACCAATGTCTATTAAGTGATCTCCAAGTGACCTGAAAAATACAACTTGAGTGATTTACAGAATGTATGTAAATATCATGAATATTGTAAATAATTAATAGTAAATGATCCTTAATTATCATGTAAATGATATGCGAGGGTCCGTTCTCTCTCTCTCTCTCTCTCTCTCTCTCTCTCTCTCTCTCTGTCTCTCTCTCTCTCTCTCTCATTCTCTCTCTCTCTCATTCTCTCTCTCTCGTTCTCTCTCCTGCATAATGGCTCACGTCTCGCTCCCTCCCACTCCATTAATCCACTCTATCGTTCCTTCTTGCTACTTCACTGCCCATTCTCCCCTCACTCTCCCTCACCCTCGCCCCCATTCTCCCCTCACTCTCCCTCACCCTCGCCCCCATTCTTCATCACCCTCAGTCTTCCTGACCCTGCTCTCCCTGACCCTCAACTTTTCTTCCTTCCCACTCTCCTGATCCCCCACTCTCCCTGATCCCCCTCTCCCTGACACCCCTATCCCTGACCCCCACTCTCCCTGACCCCCACTCTCCCTGACCCCCACTCTCCCTGACCCCTCCCACTCAATGCTCCCTCTATAGCCTCTTTTCTCTTCTCAGATTCCATGCACAAGTCCCTACTTCCCTTCTCTTCCATTCATTCTCTCTGTCTCTCTTTATCCCACTTCTCAGCTCTCCCCTTACATGATTTCCCTCCCATCCCACTCTCCCCACGTAATCCCTCCCATTGCCCTCTCATCCCCTGTCAGAAATAGTCAACAACCGAGTCTACATCGTAACCCCTCTTGAAAACCTTCTTGCCCGAAATCTTTGTCTCTGTGTCTGTCTCTCCTCCCTCCTATCTCTCTCTCTCTCCTTCCCTGGAGAGATGGGGGAAGGATGGAGGTATCAGTGTGAGACAGTTTATCCTTCTTCATTGTGTGTCGCTGAGGCTCTGCTGCTACTTAACCTCATCCTCTAGCTGGGATAGTTACACAAGAAAGGTATAAAATACCGACAATATGAAAGTTAAGAAATGTTCAACATCTGGATATCTTTATTGTAGGCGTTTCGCCATCCAGTGGCTTTATCAATACAGATTCTAGGACATAATTGGAAGACAGTAGAACTATATACAAAAGATGAGGTAATCAGTCCCTCAACCTTGGAGTTAGTGTTCACACCATCTTGTCTTTGCTCCAGATTCTCCTCCACCACGATGCTGTGAACACTAACTCCAAGGCTGAGGGACTGATTACCCCATCTTTTGTATATATTTCTACAGTCTTCCAATTATGTCCTAGAATTTGTATTGATAAAGCCACTGGATGGCGAAACGTCTACAATAAAGATATCCAGATGTTGCACATGTGTCTTAACTTTCATTTTGGGATATTACAATAATCCCTCTAGTTCATATCCATTCTATCTTTCGTTCCTATCTCTTCCTGGTGTAGTTACAATAATCCCTTTGCCTCCTGTGCCTCCCTCTATCTCTCGTTCCTATCTCTAGCGGGGAAATTTTTAAAATGCCCCCCTATAACTCCTTCATGCCCCATCTCATTTTTCCCACTCCTTCTCTGTAATAGTTAGTGTAAGTGTATACCTCTCATTCTTATCTGTCCCCTTAAAAGTATCTGTCGGGGCCCTTGTTGAATTTGTGGTTCCTTTTTTTTTTTTACCTGTCAACCCCCTTTTTTTGTGTCATTTAAATTTTTAGATTTTTCATTCTCTCTCTCTCTCTCTCTCCCCCTTTCCCCTCTCTCTCCTTCTCTCTCTCTCAAACAAAATAAAAAAAGTATGGAAATTTGCCGTTTTAAAAATTTTTGTTATTATTTGTTACCTTATATAAATCTACATACATGTCCATACTTACAATAGTCAACTTTAACCTTTAAATTAACCCATTTAAAAAAAGCACCTAATTAACTTACTAAACAAACCCTAATTTTTTTTGTAGCCCTTACCTAAGTAAACAAACAAAAAACTTAATTTTAAATCGAACTTAACCGACTCGTCAATCGATAAAAATATACGTTAAATTTCGGTTCAATGGAGTTCGGCAAAAACCTACGAGGGCAATTAGAATACAAAAAAAAATCATCTTTATATGAAAAAATGGTTGGTTGCTGACAAAATATTTGTTTTTAAACGCAAAACATTTTTAGGGTTTAAATATGACGCTCAGAAAAAACCCTCCGACGTATCTCGTTAATAAAATTAATGGGAGAGTGAGGGGGGTTTGGTAATTTTTAGTACGGGATTGTCCCCTCTCCTCCCCCCACACAACCACAAGGGTTTAAAAGTTATTTAAGGGGCTTCTGCTTTTATTTACAACCAAAGAGCTGTTACCTCCCTCACCTTATTTAAAAGCCTCCTTTCCCCCCCTCTCCCTTCCTCGCTCCCCCAATCCCACTGGGGAATTTTAAGATTAACTCTGAAAGTCTTCTCATTTGGAGTGGTAGCAACATCTCATGCAACTTGATACACATAACAAAAGCCCACAACAAGTAGGGTTGCAGGAATCAGCCCCAGGGTCAAGTTGTATGCAAAAAGGAAAGAATAAAATGAATGATCCTAAAGCTTTACATTTCTTGGGGGACTAATTGCAGCTTACAGTGAAATAAAATAGGGGTCAGGATGTAATTAAAGAAGATGAACTACAGTGATGTCAAAAATATTTTTTTACCCTCAAAGGGCAGAAATGGAATGACTTGGAAAGAAGTGATGATCAGACTGCATGCGCACTCGGGAATCCAAAAATGAACTTGGGTCACTGATAGTTAAGATCGGGGGCCTGGAGCTAAGTTCGACATCCTACAACCAAATATAATGAAACAAATAAGTAACGGGGAAAACTTTCGCCGCGCGCCGCACACACCCACACAGACACACACGACATACACACACACAGCAACGCACACCACACAAAAACGCACACACCCACACAACCACAACGCCACACCCAACCACACACAGACACAGACCCCCCTACCACACCCACACACACACACACCCACAACACACAACACACACACACACCACACACCACACAACACCACCCCGCACACACACACCCACCACCCACAAACACCCACCACAAGGACTAGTCTCGACCCCTGAAACCACAAATAGGGAGTACACACACACCACACACAGAACCCACACCAGACAAACACACAGACACACAACCACAAACCACACACAGACACACAAAAACCACAACACACAAAAAACAGCACACAACCAACAGCACACACCGCACACACACACACACACACAGCCACACACCCCAACACACACACACAGACACACACCACAACCACCCCAAACGACACACACACGCACACAACACCCCCCATAAACACGCGCGGGGCAAAACCCACACTACACACACACACCACGGAAAACAACACACACACGCACACACACACAGACAAACAGCAATAGACACACGCCACACAGACCACGCACACGCACCCACACACCACACACACACACACACACACACACCGTGGGCGCACACACACTCACACACACGCACACACAGAGACACACACACAACAACACACACCACACACACACACACACACACACACCACACACAGACCACCACAGACACACCCCCACACACACACCACCAAACAACAAACACACACAGACACACCACCACCACCCCACACACACACAGCGCGCGCGCGCGCGGGCGCACACCACTCACCGCACACACAGAACACCAACAGCACAAACACAGACACACAAAACAGACACACCACCACACACACACACACAAACACACACCGAACAAAACAAAAACCCCAACCCCCACACACAAACACACAACCACCGCACACACACACGCACACACACACACACACACACACACAGACACACACAAAACAAAACAACACACCCACACACAGACACACACACACACAAAACTGGAGGACCAAGCAGAAAAAAACAGGAAGGCACACAATGGATCAGGAAATATTGTCAGGAAGACAGCAGCGGTCATGGTACGGGGCGAGGTGTCAGAGGGGACCTGTGACCGGGGGGGTCCCGCGGGGGTCAGTTGGGCCCGTGCTTTTTTCGGGTATTTGTGAACGACATGACGGAAGGAATAATCTGAGGTGTCCTGTTTGCAGATGACGTAAAGTTGATGGAAGTA